ATACAATATAGTATATACAATATAGTATAGAATAATAACATTCTAAGAGGTCTCAGATTATTGGTGCTGAGTTTGTGCTGAATAAAAGCAAATGTATCACTTTGGGATAAATGTTTTTTAGATAGGTGAAATATTTTAAAATGTCAAGGCATGTCAGACTACCTTGAAAGTGGAAAAAAGGCCTCAGGGCCCAGGGGGTTAACCCATCAGCAGGACCGGTATCAGTTCCTTTGTGCAAGGAGGAACAGGATGAGCACTGCCAGAGTCCTACAAAATGACCTCTAGCAGGCCACTGGTGTGAATGTCTCTGACCATACAATCAGAAACAGACTTCATGAGGTTGGCCTGAGGGCCCAATGTCCTCTAGTGGGCCCTGTTCTCACTGCCTGGCACCGTGGAGCTTGATTGGCATTTGCCATAGAATACCAGAATTGGCAGGTCCACCACAAGCGCCCTGTGCTTTTCACAGATGGGAGCAGGTTCAACCTGAGAACATGTGACAGACATGAAAGGGTCTGGAGATGCCGTGGAGAACATTATGCTATTTGTAACATTGTTCAGCATGACCGGTTTGGTGCTGCGTCAGTGATGGTCTGGGGAGGCATATCCATGGAGGGACACACAGACCTCTACAGGTTAGACAACGACACCTTGACTGCCATTAGGTATTGGGATGAAATCCTTGGACCCATTGTCAGACCCTACGCTGGTGCGGTGGCTCCTGGGTTCGTCCTGGTGCACGGCAATGCCCAGTTTCATGTGTGGAGAGTATGCAGGCAGTTCTTGGAGGATGAAGGAATAGATACTATTGACTGGCCCCCATGCTCGCCTGACCTAAACCTAATAGAACACCTCTGGAACATTATGTTTCGGGCCATCTGATGCCGCCAGGTTGTCCAGGAGCTCAGTGATACCCTGGTCCAGATCTGGATGGAGATCCTCCAGGACACCATCTGTTGTCTCATTAGGAGAATGCCCTGGCAAAATGTCAGGTATGCATACAAGCATGTGGTGACCATACAAACTACTGAGTACGATTTTTGAGTTGCTGCAATGAAATTTTGGCAAAATGGATTAGCCTGCTGCATCATTTTTTCACTTCGATTTCTGGGGTGTCTTTGAATTCAGTCCTCTGTAGGTTGATAATTTTCATTTCCATCAAACAATGAGGCATCCTTTCATTCCGAACACATTACTCCGTCCATATCAGCATAGATATCCAGTATGATTTTTTTCCCCCATTGAGATCTGATGTGTTTTCAAAGAGTTCCTTTATTTTTTTTGAGCAGTGTATTATTTGAGTGATGTCTCATTGAGGGAGATAAGCTGTTTCTGATGAGTTTGCATGCAGTTTGCGCAAGAGTTGCACACTTTGGTTTGACTGCTGATTCTAACCTGATATGAGAGACCTTCTGTGATAAGATCCTGAAGATTACAGAGGGTTGTGTTGGTGTTGCCAGTGTTCCCAGAAGGACGTGTTTCATCTCGCAGGGCACTCTGGATATTATCGAGAGGAGTCGCAGTGCATGACTCAGTAGCTACTCCAGTCTGTACTCACCTTCTGTGGTCTAGTGACCCACATCCTGCTTACAGAGGAATCGAAAAATTACGCACATCTGACTCTGTTCTTCGGAGACTTGCAGTCAGGGCGGGTGATGGAATAAGAACATAAGGACATAAGAAATTTACAAACGAGAGGAGGCCATTTGGCCCATCAAGCTCATTTGGGGAGAACTTAACTAATAGCTCAGAGTTGTTAAAATCTTATCTAGCTCTGATTTAAAGGAACCCAGGGTTTTAGCTTCTGCTACACTAGCAGGAAGACTATTCCATACTCTAACTACACACTGTGTAAAGAAGTGCTTCCTCAAATTTGTTTTAAAATGTTCTCCCACTAATTTCCACTTATGGCCACGAGTTCTAGTATTTAAACTAATATTGAAATAGCTATTTGGCTGAACAGCATCCAGACCCGTTAGAATCTTATAGACCTGGATCATGTCCCCCCTTAGTCTCCTTTGCTCAAGGCTAAACAGATCCAGCTCAGCTAACCTCTCCTCATAAGACATTGCTCTAAGACCAGGAATCATTCTCGTAGCCCTCCGTTTCACCTTTTCTAAGGCAGCAATGTCCTTCTTAAGGTATGGTGACCATAATGCGTAACGGTCCTTACGGATGACACTCTAATGACAATGACCTGCTGGGCCGGCTCCTTTGAGCAGTTATTTAAAGCTGACCCTCCAGCTAGGATGTTGGACATCTCTGGGTCCACAGTTCTTGAAGCTGATCCTCCAATCAGCTGTGAACCACTCAAACTCAGTGAGATTGCACGGGTGGTAAATCATCTTGGGATAGGGAAGGTCGCAGGGATCTGTGGTATCCGGGGTGAACTTCTCCAGGCTGGTGGTAAGGCTGTCCTCTTGGCATTGCAGGCAATCTTTGCATCCATTTGGTAGTCAGGCATCATCCCAACTGACTGGAAAATGGGACTTATAGTCCCTATCTGGAAAGGGAAGGGTGATTGCCTGGATTGTGGCAACTACAGGGGATAACACTGCTTTCAGTGCCGAGTAAGGTCCTTGCTAGGGTCATCCTAAACAGGATGCATGATCACTTCTTTGCCTGTCAGCGACTGGAGCAGTCTGGTTTTACGCCTAAGAAGTCTACCTTTAACTGTATCCTTGCACTTAGGGTCCTCATCGAGCGCATGTATTGGCAGAAGTTCTTTGCAACCTTTGTCGATATTCATAAAGCATTCGACTCAGTTGATCGAGTTGCCCTGTGGGAAGTCCCCCAGGAGTTGCTGGACATCTTAGCTGTCCTGTACACTGGTATTGTGAGTGCTGTGCAGAATGGAGGGAGAACCGCTGCGTTCTTCACAGTTGATTCTGGCGTTCACTAGCGGTGTGTTCTTGCTCCTACTCTATTCAATGCTTGTAGGGACTGTGTGTTGGGCAGGGTTGTGGGGTGTCCGTTAGTGAAGAAAGATTTACTGATCTTGACTTTGCCGACGATGCTCTGATCTTAGCGGAGTCAATGGAGGCTCTGATCGGGGCTCTCGAGAGACTGAGTGAGGAGTCTGAGTGTCTGGGATTGCGGGTGTCCTGGAAAAAGACCAAGATCCAGGCATTTAATGACTTTTTAGGCACAGATATTAGTAGTGTATCTGTCTGTGGGGAGAATGTCGACCTAGTTGAGAGATTTACCTGCCTTGGCAGCGACATTCATGTCTCTGGTGACTCTTCCTGTCTTTGCAAGAGTCCTGGTGCTCCCTGTCTTGCTGTATAGCTGTGAGACATGGATGCTATCCAGTGAGCTGAGATGAAGACTGGACTCCTTCGGTACTATGTCCCTTTGGAGATTCCTTGGGTACCGCTGGTTTGACTTTGTGTCGAATGAGCGGTTGCTAGAGGAGTCCCGAAAGAGGCACATTACCTGCTTTGTGAGGGAGTGTCAGTTACAGCCCTACGGCTATATGGCGCACTTCCTTGAGGGTGATCTGGCTCGCAGGATCCTCATTGCTGAGGACCCAAGCGGCTGGACCAGGCGAAGGGGACGCCCACGTAACACCTGGCTGCAGCAGATGGATGGCGATTAATAATGACAATTGTATGAAGCCGTTTGCATATGTATGTAATAAATCATTTGGAAATTTGTTTCATAGAATCAGAAATGATGTTCTTGTGTGGAAATTACACTTGTTGTTAATTGTCAAATGTTAATTGTCATTTGAGAAATGCTCCAAAACAATCAAGAAAAACAGTAAGTCAGGGGTGGCCAATCTTATCCGCAAAGGGCCGGTTTGTATGCAGGTTTTTGGGATAACCTGTAGGTCAGCTGTTCAAACCCAGGTGTGAGGATGCTTCAGCCAATCAGTCCTCTAATTAGTAATATGATTAGGGAGTTGCAGCGAAAACCCGCATACACAGCAGACCTTTGTGGATAAGATTGGCCACCCCTGCAGTAAGTGGTGTGTTGATTTGGTTTTCCTTATCGGAAAACATTTGCCAGAAGGTCATAATTGGGATAGATGATGCCCTGGGTGAGCAATATTATGTGTTGGCTTGGAACCAGCAAGTAGGCCCCATGTAACATAGCCACTCTCTTGTTTATTGCAGGTGCAGATGTGAACAGCCAGGCAGCTGATGGAGCCACAGCTCTCTATGAGGCTAGCAAGAACGGCCATGACGATATAGTGAAGATCCTGCTGTCTCAAAATGCTGATGCAAATATAGCAGCCAAGGGGGGGCTACTTCCACTGCATATTGCGGCTCAGCGTGGGAATGATAGGTAGGTACTGCCTGAGGCTTTATATAGCTGCTTGTGAAGTATGTGTATATAATGTAGGAAGTACTTATTTGTTTACACAATCATTTATTATTAAATACAAAGAACCGGGTCTGCACTGTAGTATGATGGTGAATTTGTAATATTGTGGGTCTATTTTTCCTCCAAAAATCCAGGGAAGCAAAAATGGTTTATTGACTACAGAATCAAGCTTTTTCCATTATCATCCCAGTTCCCTGACCTAAATTCCATTCAACATCTCTGTTGAGGTGTTGAGCAACTGAGCAATGGTCTCAAATTCCTTGCTCTGTGCAAATATATGAAATACAGTACTGTGCAAAAGTCTTAGTCAAAGAAAATGCTAAAAGCTATTTATCCGGGTAGTAAGTGTATTTAATTGTATATTTGTGGAGAAGAAAATACAACTTAACATCAGCTTCCAAACCTCTCCTTAGGGGCACCCCAGACCGTCCTTGAATGAATGGAGTGTGAGGGGATCTAATACATCAGTGTTTTAACTTGACCACTAGCATACATTGTATAGCTAATCAATATCTCATTGGTTTTTTTTTTAAACATAATTAATGAATTAAGTGAGCTGCTGGTGAAATTTCATAAATACATGGAATAGCTAAAGTGCCCCTGAGGAGGGGTCTGGGACCTGAAGCGGTGTTCATTTAGCCATCCAACTAGATATCAGCAGGGCCGTGCAGAGACGTTTAAAGGGGCGGGTGCTCAAAGTTAAAAAAGATAGAACAGGCTGAATAACAACAACTCACATTCATGACGAATCTAATATGGAATTATGTGGATATCCATATTAGATCGTTTTTAGTGAAATAAAAGCCCTCCAGAAAAGAAGGGAAAAGTCCTGTAACTTACTTTAAAACAAAACATGTTCCCTAAAACGGTGGAAAGAGCTACAGACCCCCTTGTAACACCCTTACCCAGTTAGCTAGCAGTTAATGACCACCATTACTTGTGCAGTTCATAAAAGGACAGGTAATGTTTGTCGCGCTGTTGCACAAACAGCACGCTCATTTATTTCAATTCATTTGTTGTTATAGACTATAGTGTGCGCTGTACACCCTATTTACTGTTTTGTTGCAGTCTGCACCTTCCAATTAATTTGCCTGCTTCTCCTCCAGCTCCGCACCACCCAGCCTGCAGAAAATGCGCGTGCACTTTGCGAGCTCGTACCCGTCTCGTAACGAGTGCGCTCTGCCCTCAAGGGCGAGCATTGGTTAATGGCAGTCATGTGACTGATGCAAGCCAGATCCTTTTATTTAGCAAAATTGAGATTAATAGTTACATTTTATTGTTGAGGGGCAAAGACAGGGCTCCATACTCACATACACATTAAAAAAAAAACAAAAAAAAAAAACAACAACAACAACAAAAAAAAAAACCCAAGAAAAGGGCACTTGAGGCATCCTGGAGGAAAGGGGTGGGTGCTCAAGCACCCTCTGCCCCCCCCCCCTCTGCACGTGGATATCAGTCATTTTTTGGAGAACAGAAGAAATTCTTACTAGTTTTTCTTGTGTTACTCTTAATTTCCATATGTTCTAATGCTATATACACACACACACACACACACACACACACATATATATACTGTATGGGTGTGTGGATTATGTTTACATTACATTGTGGGGACCAAATGATCCCCACAATGTAATAAAAACCTGTTATTTTGAAGTTGTGGGGACCATTTTTCAGGTCCCCACAAAGATCTGTGACTGCAATCAAAAAAGCAAAAATGCAAGAAGTCTCATATTTTGTTTAATTACTTATGGTTCAGGTTAGGGCTGGGTAGGGGTTAAGGTTGTCATAGTTAGCATTAGCATTATTCCCATAGAAATTAATGAGTGGTCCCCATAAAGATATGTTTACCCGACATATGTGTGTGTGTGTGTGTGTGTGTGTGCGTAAAATATTTTTTTGAAAAAAAAAAATAAATTTGAAACTTTTTTTTGCGTAAAAAAGGTTTTTTTCTGAAATTAATTTACTTCATTGGGATCAAGTTGGGTTTCTCCAAATTTATCAGTGTGAGATTAAGCTAGTTGACCACAAATGCATTATTAATCTCTTATCTTTGGTTTCAGCAAGGGTGTTTTAGAGTGCACTGAACTGATGTATGTTATCATCAGCAACAACACTGGCATATCTCCATAGCTCATTCTCCCTTGCATATCCTTTTCCTGAGGTCAGGAATTTTTGTTGAAGAATTTAATGACTGTGGAAGAATTGCCACAGTTTAAACCTACAATGATAAAAAAAAACATAATACTGTTCTATTTTTAATACTGAAGTGCAATATTCAAACCCATTTATATTCAGTTTAATATTAAATTTTGAAACCCTGTATATTTTCAAAAGAAAAAGGGCAGAAGTTACTTCTCGATGCTTTTGTGGCACCAGGTTTTCACATGTCAAACTGAGAACTGAGCAATGCTTTATATTTAAAATTCTACGTGATTATATCTGAATTATACATTGCACTGAATGTGCGCAACATAATATTGCGTTGGGCCTTGTTTTGCACTCTAGACTGCCTTAATATCTTGGGGATGGGCACAGCTGTGTCCCAGGGGAATGCTGCCCTAGGCAGACTCTAATGTTTCCCACAGCCGTGTTGTGTTGCTTGAATGTTATTTGGGTGGGTGGGGGGTGGGGGTGGGGGGGATAGTACAGATATTCTGTTCATTGTCATCTATGGGCATACTTTGTTAAAATGCAATTTTTTCCTGCTCAGACACACAATACATGTCTCAGTTGTTTCTGGCCTTAGAAACCTTTTAAGGCATGGAAATACCTTATACTTTTAAACACAGTATATATTTTCAGTTTTTTAGCAGCTTAAAAAGGTCTTTTTATACAAATGAGTGTTTAGTCAATAAATCCATAGCTTGGTAATAATGAGTATTATGACATTCTGGGGATTTTGACATGCAACTTTATTACCACCAGTAATAACCTGATGTCACTTTTTGTCACTTCTGTGTTGGTACAAAGAGTGTATTCAGTGTCCACAGAGGCACAGCTAGACACCACTATATTAAGTGTCTTGGAAAATTCATAGCACCACCCGACAGCTGTAAGCAGCACAGCTTGTAATGGTGTAACATCTGCTTTGTTCTCCCGCATTGCTTTTGCAGAGAAAAGTTGCTGAACTATGCATCATATTCCTACTGTTGCGAATTGTCAGTTAAGTAAGTCACCAAAGCCTGCAGTGGTGCTGCGAGCTCTCCCGTAACTTACGGAATTAACTCAAGCTTAGCGTAGCTGTTGTCTGCACTTAAACCTTTACTGATCTCCTAACCACTCATTCATATCAGTATGCACTTTAGTTTGCTTTTATTCTGGAAAACTGATTAATTAAAATATTCATATTTTATTTCATATTTATCTTATGTACTTATATTGATGTAAATAAATATAGCTTGGTTTGATAATCTCATTTAATCTGAGACACAACATGAAAAATGTTCAATGTTGAATATTAGGACCATATTTAGTATAATAATTCTCAAATGAATAAAGTAAATGAGTAGCCATATTGTTAGTATGGGGCAGTAGAGTATGCTTGGATCTTGCTTAGGACTTGACATTATTGGTTCCCATAATTCTGACTCCCGTCTCTCCTCCATGCAGAATTGTGTCCATGCTGATTCCGGCTACTAGCAAGGCCCGGGTGCGGCGTAGTGGGATCAGTCCCCTTCACCTGGCTGCAGAACGTAACAAGAATGAGGTCCTGGAGACTCTCATAGAGGCAGGCTTTGATGTCAACGCCATGTTGTCCCCTGACCGCTCCAAGATGTACGAGGACCGCCGCAGCACCGCCCTCTATTTTGCCATCTGCAACAACAACACTGAAGCTGCCACTATGCTCCTAGAAGCTGGTGCCAACCCTAACCTGGACACGTTTAACCCCCTGCTGATCGCCGTGCGTCAGGGCTGCATACGGACAGTCACTTTGCTGGTAGAGCATGGGGCCAATGTCAATGCCTACATCCCCACCCACCCCACCCCCTTCCCCGCTGCCATTATGTTCTGCATGAAGTACCTGACCCTGCTCAAGTACCTGCTGGATAATGGGTGCGATGCCCAGTCCTGCTTCCAGTGTGAGTACGGCAGTGGTCCACATCCTCCGATCGAGACCTTACACAGACCCAGGGATGACATACGCTACAATGTTGATGTGCAGGACTACATTCCAGTGCAGGTAGGTTCGACATCTTAGATAACATGTTGTGAAATGAGCGTTCAGCACTATGATCAGACCAAGTGTAAGATATACTTATTGCACATGTTGGTAACTTGATCAGAAAAAAAATTACATGCATGTTTTCCCTTTATCAAGTCAAGTGGATTTTATTGTGATAACACATACTGTAGTACTGTGATACAAAATTTAGTTCCCCAAGACCAATGTGCAACATAGAACAAAACAAGGGCTACACATATAAGTAGGGCACTATAAGTTGAAGGAGCTGCTGCAGCAGGCAGCACCTGAGCATGGTGCTATTTTATTAAATAAATCAGACACTCCTCACTTACTGACAGCTTCATTCCTATGACTAGATCATTAAGTGAATTGGTTGATAAGGGAAGAGCTGTCCTTATTGATATTTCAAGCACACTGTACTGGTAGTGGTAGTGCCAACCCTCTTTAAATGTTGTTTTAATGTCACCTTTGCACCATTTATAACATCTCTAAATCTTCATACATTAGTGTATTGCATACTGTAATAAACACTGTTCTGGCTACATGTTTTATCCGTTTGTGACAGTTGAAAATCTATGAGTGAAACTATAGTAAAACACAGAAAAGACTTAGGAGATCTATGGAGCCCCGGAAGGGACCTGTGCAAAAAAATAAAATGCTCTTACTTTGGCGTGCACACACCAAAGTAAGAACATTTTATTTTTTTGGCATCTCTTTTTTATGCGATCTTTTATCTCACAACAAGCTGGCCAATAAGTGATAATGTTAATCGTCAATGGAATCATAAATACAGTGAGGGAAATAATTATTTGACCCCCTGCTGAATTCTTAAATTGACCCATTAATAAAGAAATGAGAAGTCTATAACTTCACTGGTAGGTTTATTTTAACAGCAAAAGATAGAAAAACAAGCCAGAAAAATAATTATGTAACAGTTACAAACCAATTTGTCATTTATCTAGGGAAATAATTATTTGATCCCTTGGAACACATGCTTTAGTACTTGGTGGAGTAACCATTGTTGGCAAGCACAACTGTCAGATGTTTCTTGTAGTTGGTCACCAGGTTTACACACAGCTCAGCAGGAATTTTCATCCACTGTTCTTTGAGGATCTCCAAATCTTTAAGGTTTTTAGACTGTCACTTGGATACACGAAGCTTGAGTTCCCTCCATAGGTTTTCTATGGGATAAGCCTCATTGGAATTATTCCGGTGTTCACTGGCATACCTCCGATGGATCTGAACATGGGCCCTCATGAACAGGGGTACTTTGTGAGCACTGCAGGATTTCAAACTATAACTGCATACTGTGTTACCAATGGTTTTTTTGGCAACATGAGGTCCCTGCGGCTTTGTGATCATTAACGAGCTCCTCCTATGTAGTTCTGGGGTTAGCCTTCACTGTTCTTAAGGTCATTGATGCCGCCCAAGACTAAATCTTTCTTGGGGCCCAAGATCCAGGGTGATTGACAGTTATTCTGTCTTTCTTCCATTTGCAAATAATTCCACCAACAGTTGTCACTTTCTCACCAAGCTGCTTGCTGATGGTCATGTAGCCCATTCCACCTTTGTCAAGGTCAACAATCTTGTCTCTGACATCCTTAGACAGCTCTCTGGAGTCTCTCATGGTGATAGGATTGAAGATCTAGAAAGGTTAGTGACTAAAAAATACTTTTTAAACAAAGTAATGCCATTAAATGTGAATACTGGTATCTGTTAATACTTAATTAAGTACTACTTCTGTAGCCTCCTCCACAGTTGGGCCTCACGTCACCTGCCCTAGTATTTAAGAGTTCTGTGCTTCATCTAGCCCAGCTGCGTCCCTTTAAGGATCACTTTCAGCCAGGGTATCAGTTTAGCCCCCAACAGTACCCCTCAGGCATCCCAAGGCCGCAGCCACCACCGTTATAGCCTTCCAGCCACCACCTCGTGCCTGAATCAGCTTACCGTGGGCCACGTCCACTGATCCCTAACCTTACAACCCAGGATCCCAGTGAGTTTGCCCGTCTTAAGACTGCCCTGGAAAACCTTCTACCAATAGATGGAACAGTGCTATTTAAGTACCAGGTTTTAGCTGACCATTTAAAACTGGAGGAGGCAGAGTTGGTGGCCGATGATCTCCATTCCACCACTCCTTACAATGACACTATGATCGCTCTAAATGACAAGTTTGGTCAACCGCATCAGATGGCGCTAAAGAAAATTGCTTCTGTGATGCACTCTTGACGTCAGACGTGGAGATGCAGCTGCCTTCGAGAGGTTTGCGCTCCAGATCCAGTCACTGGTGGGAATGCTGAAGACTTTAGGCCCGGAGGGAGAGCCTGAGCTGCAGTGTCGCTCATATGTGGCCCGCATTCTCAGCAAATTACCACCTGAGCAGAAAGCAGAGTTCCAGCATTGTATGTTCAGGCATTTTGGAATGGACTACACCTTGACTGACCTTTCAGATTGGCTGAAGTATGAGTCGTGGTGTCAAGATGTTGATGGACAGATACCCTCCAAGGGGACCAAGATAGACCTGTGTTTAAGGGTGACAGACACAAAAAAAGCGGCTTGTCAGTCCTCCATGGGACTAAAGACAGCCTCAGTAAGGAAGAACCCCCGACTCAAAGCAGCCTTGTTAAGAGGAACCAAAGCAAACTATACTGTGTGTTCTGTGACAAGTCGGAGCATCACCTCAGTCAGTGCACGAAGATCTCCAAGTTAACTAAAGACCAGTTAACCATGTGGATAAGGACAAATAGAAGATGGCGCTGCGCACGGTCCCACCAGGCAACACAATGTGACCTCAAGAAACCTTGCGGTTTGTGTTAAGGAAGGCATCTACAGGTTTTACATGAGGTCAACATCAGGGCCTCAAAGGGAGCAGTGAAGCCTATTGTGGAGGGGGACCGGGCAGAGGTTTCGCCAACGGAAGTGCTCTACCTGGATAGGCTAACTGAAGACAGTCACGTGTTACTGAAAGTCGCCAGAGTCCTCATCCACAGTGGTAATCAAATGCTGGATGCGTATGCAATGCTAGACGATGGATCAGAGAGGACAATGTTGCTACCTGCTGCTGCCCAGAGACTTGGGCTTCGAGGGACACCTGAAGATCTCCCACCTCAGTGTCCTTCTCCATCTCTCCATTCGCAAGACCAAAGATTAGTTTCTCCATTACAGGAGCTTTCACAGCAACCCACATTAATTTATCAGAGCATACCTACCCCATGGAGCTGCTTCAGAAGAAGTACAGACACCTGACTGGCCTGCCAATAAGGTCATTCAAGAATGTCAGACCATTACTGCTGATTGGGAGTGACCATCCACACCTCATAACCCCTATTGAACCTGTTAGGCTAGGCTCACCAGGTGGGCCAGCAGCTATCCGTACCCGACTAGGATGGACACTCCAAGGCCCTGCAAAGCTGGTCCGTCAGCTCATCCAGCCACAACAGTGTCTCATGACCTCCGCGGCCCCCCAGGTGAACGAGTTGATGAAACACATAGAGAGATTATGGCAGCTAGACACCATTCCATTTAGAAGCGAGAAGTTAGTGACCCGCTCCAAGCAGGATCATGAAGCCATCATCATCCTTGAATCCAAGACCACGCGTGTAGAAGTAAATGGTATACTTCGATACGCAACTCCACTGCTCCGGCGGAAGAACATGCCCTGCCTCCAAACACACATGTAAGCTGTTATGCCAAGCCCGAGAAGCACAGATTGACTCAGTAGGGACCCTAAGAAAGCCACCGCTTACAAAGAAGAAATGGAGAAGCTCATAAAGGCAGGATCAGTGTTGAAGGGTGACCCAATGACGTTAGGAGAAGAGGGGGAATCATGGTATATACCCCACCACATGGTTAGCCACAATGGTAAGAATCGGCTTGTATTTAACTGCTCTTGCCAGTATCGAGGGCAGAGTTTGAATGAGTACCTGCTGCCGGGTCCAACATTGGGAGCATCACTTCTTGGAGTCCTTTTGTGCTTCCGCGAGCATGCAGTGGCTGTCAGATGAGATATCAAGAGCATGTTCCATCAGGTCTGCCTGATACCTGAGGACTGCTGCCTCCTGCGGTTTGTGTGGCGCAATCTGCATCAACATGAACCTCCAGAAGTATATGAATGGCGAGTGTTGCCCTTTAGCACAACGTGTAGCCCTCGCTGTGCAGTGTTTGCCCTACAGCACCATGTAGCTAACCACAGCATTCCAGATGAAGAGGTGAAGCGCTCCGTTGCGCGATGTTTCTATGTTGATAGTTGCCTACAAAGCCTACCCACCATTGAGGAAGCCAGGCAGTTAGTGGATAAGCTTCGAGCACTCCTGTTGTCAGCAGGGGTTGAACTGCATCAGTGGGCTAGCAATGAGCCAGTGAACTGCATCAGTGGGCTAGCAATGAGCCAGCCGTCATAAGCTACCTTCCTGAAGAAATGAGGTCAGACACAGTTGAGCTCTGGCTGGCTCAAGATCGATCAGAAGCTCCAGAGTCAACCTTAGGGCTTAGCTGGCACTTTCAGACCGACCTCCTCGGTTACAAGTATCGTCATGTGGATTATGGGGCCCTGACCATGCAGAATATTTATAAAGTCCTAGCCAGCCATTACTATCTTTTAGGGTTCATTCTACCTTACACCACCTGGGCTAAACTGCTAGTCAGATGTCTATGGGACAAGCAGATGGGTTGAGATAAACCCCTGCTACTGCAAGACCTCCTGCAGCAGTGGAAGGATTGAGAGGAAGAGCTTCAAGTCCTGGCCTAAGTCCTCCTTCCTCGACTGTACTTACCAAAGGACATATCCCCACTGAACACTAGCAGAGAGATGCACATCTTCTGTGATGCGTCTGAGCAGGCTTACGGTACGGTGGCTTATCTGCGAACATTGGGCCGTGATGGTGGTGTGCACCTAGCATTCCTTTTGGCACACTCCAGGGTTGCCCCTAAGCGGCTACATTCCATGCCTTGGTTAGAACTCTGTGCCGCACTCATCGGAGCTCAACTCTCAAAATTACTCG